TTGTTAGCGGGCGGCGTGCTGAGGCCCAGCAAGTCGGCATTGGCATTGGCATTGCTATTCAGTTTGTTGTTATGATTGACGTGCGCATTGTTCTGCGTAATGGATGTGGGCGCTGGGCTCTTCGATTCGCGTATTTCATTCTCGGGCACACGGCCAGGCTTCTTCTTCTTGAGCACCGCCAGTATGGAGCTCTCGCGCTCCGGGAATGAGGGCATCTCCTCCAGCACAGTGGCCAGGACATCGGTTGACGCCACAATGCTCAGTTGCAGATATTCGCTGGCGCGCTGCTGCAGCTCCGCGTCGGCGGAACGCAAATTGCTGTGCTGCCTGAACACCTCCTGGATGTTGGTGCGTATCTCGGGAAACAGATTGATGAACTTAATATAGGTGGAGAGCAACAAGGCGCGCGTCATGGGCGAGCACAAATGATACTTGGAATGCAGCAGCTTGAACTGCACCAGCGGCGCCGACCGAGAATCGCCCGCAATTAGATTGCCAAACTCGCCCAATATATAGCCGCCCACCTTGACCATGTTCTCGTGACAGGCGGGCGCCTGCAGTGCCTCGAACACGGTCTTGGCGGCATAGCCCTGCACCTCCTCGCGATTGATGACAATCTGTATGACACGATACCAGACCTCCTCCGACACATAATCGCCGGCGATGCGTATTAGATTGAGAATGACATCCACATACCTGAAACACAAATGAAGGTTGGAATCATTAGCAACAGGGAGGGAGTGGGAATAAGAGTGCAGTCTTACCAGGTGTAGTCCGTGGCATATTTCTCAGCCAGAATGGCCACCTTGAGTACCATCTCCTCACGTATGGAATAGTCGGCCGTCTCCAGATAGTTGAGCATCTCTTGGACAATCTCCTCGGCGTTGCCGCGATCGCACATGGCATAAAGCAAATCGACAGCCATTTGGCGCACCGAAACATCCTTCTCCATTTTCATAGATAGTATAACCACCTCCTGATGCTTCTTGACCTCCTCGTGCGAGAACTCCGACGTCGCCAGATGGCACATGGACTCAAGCGCCAGATAACGCAAATTGGTCTCCCGATTGCTAAGGAACTGGCCCAGCTGATTGCAAGCGCGCACGAGCAGATTGGGCTCACTGTCGCTATGTATAATCAGATTGATGGCCTCGAAGAGGACAGCATTTTTGGCATTCGAATGCTGAACCTTCTTGCTCTTGGGCGGCTCCTGCGCCTTATTCAGTATGGTCTCCAGCGTCTCGTTGAGGCGTGCCCGCACGCCGGCCTCCTCGGTAACCGGATTATAATTCTGCAGCAGCCGCAACAATTTCACCGATAGCCACGGTGCCGGCACGAAGTAATACGTGTAGTCCTGCAGATCGGTATAGCTGGCGGTCACAATGCGCGACAGACGCGACACGGCCAGATTAACGCAGCCCTTATACTCGTCCGGATTGCGTTTGACCAGGGCATCGATTAGCGATGTAGCTGCCGTTACCACGCCCATATGCTGATCGTTGAGCAAGTGTATAATGCGTGAGGTCCACTCACCGCCGGGTATAATATCCGGCGAGGAGCGAAACAGACGCAGCAAACACAAGGCCGCCGACTGCTTGACCACATCCATAGTATCGCCCGAGACGAGCAGCTTGGGTATCTCATTCGAGAAGGACTCGGCCATGTCACGGCTGCCAATGTTAGCAATGCACTGCAGCGCCAGATTCACGTGCACCGGATTCCGTGATTGCAAATCATTCTTAATCGACTGAATGATCAATCGGATCAGATCGCTGTTCGTATTCACCAGCACCGAAATGAACAGATAGCCCTGCAAAAAGTAACATTTTTTGAGTATATTTTAATAACAATTAGCTAAGTTCGTATTACTCACGATCTGCTTCTCTGAGTATTTGTTGGAGGACAGCAGATTGACCGCCTCCATGTGGCCAAAGTCAATGTCATGGCCCAGCAGGAATATGAACAGCAGCTTGCACACATATTTCTTCTTCTGATAGCCATCGAGCGTTTTATCGCCTTTAAATTTGCTACGTATGTTGGCCAACTCTTTGTTTATGCGTTTCACTTCCGCTTCTTTGCTTTTACCTGTGAATTAAAGAGAAAGATGAGTGAGTCTTTAGATTTTAAAAATGATTAAGTTTCTATTGAAGGAGGCACATTTGTTTATAGCACAAAAGGAATATATATACATATATATCTGATCGATTGTCAGCATCAACTGTCGAGTCGAATTAGCCATAAACATCTGCCTCAGCCTCTCAGCTAAGGTATCTTGCTGAAGCTTCTTATAAATTCTTTTAAATATACGATCTTCAACATATAGACATTATAGTTTCTAGAGCTTGAGTTCTGTTTTTTGGCTTTCCAATTTCTTTACAGGATAAGATAGTCAAGTGTGGGTCAAGGTTTGTGTTGTGTATTTGTATCTTTCTATGAGTCAGGGGGTAAGCTAAGCCGAATTCAACAAGCCGGAAACTCACAACTCTCCCGCTCAGTATGCACACTCTCTCTGTCTCTCGGTCGGCAATTAGTACCAGTCACCGATTTGAGCGATCGGGAGAACGGCCGCGCAATAGATATGCTGGCGAGTTAACCAGCAAATGGGCCGTTGTGTGTCTGTGCGATAAACGAATGGAAGAGCGTCGGGAGTGAGCGCTGGGCAAAGCGACAAGTTAAGGCTACAGAGTACAAACAATTTGCGGTACACACACATACACACACACACACACACTTGGACACAGATTGATATGAAAGCCGCCCCGCTTTGCGACTGTCGTTCTTCTCGTAATTGAACAAGAAATGTCGACATTGACGCCCCTATGAGAGTTATGAATATATTTGGATAAGAAAAGCGCTGATAAATTGAATTAAAAATTAAAAATAAAATAAATTCAAGTGAGAGTGCACTCGACTAGAAAATACCCTGTACCCAGAATCATATAATTTTCTTCCCCAAGTCCTACAGCATGAAAAAAATGTAAACAACCTTGAATAACTTGTGTTATCATTATGCGATTAATTTGAAAATTGCTGTGCTAAACGATAACATCCAAACGTGGGCATATACCAGAGATCAAGGATATAACTCCCAAAATGTAGATTTCTTTGCATTTTGAGTTAACCTGATAAAGCCTATTCAAAAAGATAATTTTTCTTGAGCCGCATTTTTTGATAAACTAAGTGTTCAATTCTGTTTCTCTAGCTTAAATTGTATAAAGCCTAAATTAATGATTATTTTAAAATAAAATCTTGCGTAAGCTTGCATAGCCTTATGGATCATCGAGTTTGATGCTGCTCAAGCATGTTTGTACATACATATATGTTTAATGCGGTCAAAATTCCGCTCTATGCCTCTTTTATATTTCCTCGAAATCAATATACCCATTTAAGGTATTTACAGAGTGTAATAACAGTCTATTACTGGGTTACGTATGCAATAGCTATGTCTACTCATGTGTTTACTTACAATTTCTTATATCCGATATAAACACGGCCAGGCCTCTCATGCCATCCCCCCTCACCGGCGCCATTGTAGTTAGCTTGTTAATTTTCGCTGGTTTTATGCAAACTCGGGGCGAAGAAAGATCTGTGCTCGAGCGCTCGAGTCGATGCGGCGCTCTTATCGCTCAGGCTCCAACGACGACGACGACGACGACGACGACAACAACAACAGCAGCAAAATGTCAGCAACAACAACCGCAAGAACAACAACAACTAACGGGGAGCTCGAAAACTGTGCGACGTTGCCACTTGCTGCAGTCCGTTGCTGAGACTGATGAATGGCAAATTTTGATTTGCTAGCGAAAAACAAAATAATGTTCTTTTCTCCTGCTCTCACAATCTCTCGCTCGCTGTGGCTCTCTCGGCAGCAAAAGACCTGTTGAGAATATAATATATATTTGTTTAACAATCAATTGATATCGATAACAGTTTTGTTATTGCCTAATGGCATATTTGGCGCAATTTGAACTTTTGACATTTGGCGAGCAAGCATACGCCCCCCCCCCTCCCCCCTCCTCCTTCGGCACACATACACACCTCTCCGCAGCCCACCCACTCGTTTATATATTTGGCAACCGCGTTGGCAGCACTTGCAATGTATATATATACATAAATGTGTGTGTGTGTGTATTTTAAACAGCAACAACAACGGGAACGGCAGCTGCAGGCCTGATAACGTTTGGGTTTTGATGACCTTAATGCAATGTTTTATCACAATTTGCACTTGTTTAGGTAAATAAATGTATTACTAGTGCACGATCAGTGCCACCGGCTGGAACCCTTTGTTGTTGCCAGCGCTTATTTTGCTTTCATGTCACGTCCCGCAGCCGTCGTAGTCGACGTCACTTTTTTTTTTTTTCTTTCTCTTCACATGAACCAAAGCCAACGGGCCGCAAGATGACGAAGTCGTTTTATTTGCACAGACCGCAAAAACAGCACCACGAAACGTTCCGAAAATTTCGTTTTTCTTTTTTTTTTTATGCCATAACACGCACACACACACACACACAATTGCTGTAAGTCGCGAGTCAAATGCGAATCGAATTTGGTAGCCGCTGGTGCTTACTTTTTGAAACGCTGCAGCCAAAATGTTTTTGCAGAGAGTTTGCTGGAATTTGTGTCGTTTCGTTTTGGCTTTCTCACGGCTGCGGCTGCTGCTGCCTTTTCGGGGTTTTCGGGTTTTCTGTTGGGTGTTGGCCGCGGAATGTGTCGATGTGTGTGTGTATGCCGGCGATGCAGCACTTTATTTAACCCGTGTATGAATTTGTATTGCGTTCAATTGCAGTTATTAATTGTAAACTAACGCAAAACAAGCAGAGCAGCCAGGCATTTCACGAACTGAAAATTTCTATTGATTTTTCCTCTACACTCCTCTCCATGCAACAGCCATCTAGCGGACACAGTGCTGTTAAACGTCAGCAACTGGCGCGTTTTGCGGCAAGTGCTGCATAATACATGCAAAAGCTGCATACACTTTCCAACACTACCACTTTACAACTCCGCCATTTTTTGCGCTACAGCGTTGCATATGCCGAATGGTCGTCGACTATTTGTAGTACTCTACGTTTTTTTATACTCCAAGAAAATAAATATAAAATGCTAGCGCATTTAAATGTGCACTAAGCGAACCGGCGAGCACAACGATTGCATATACGAAGGACAAGTGAACGGTTAACAAGCAATTACGCATGTGTTACGTACTGCCAGCGCCGTGTTATCATCAGAATCAGCGCAGCCGCCATAAAACTGTCTCGAGAATTGCAATTAATTGCGGAATCAATAGGAAACAACAGCATCCAGAGCCGCAAACAAGGCCGTGGGCGTGTTTGCCAAGCGTTCCAACATGAGTTTTTCCAGCGACGAGGTGAACTTTCTAGTTTTCCGATATCTACAGGAGTCAGGTGAGTGGAGGAGGAGACGGTTGACAGACGCCCCAAAGCTAACTCTCCCCCCCTCTCCCATGCCCATGCGTGCATGTTCTTTTCCAACGACAGGCTTTCTACACTCCGCCTATGTCTTTGGCATCGAGTCTCACATCTCGCAGAGCAACATAAATGGTGCTCTTGTGCCGCCCGCTGCCCTACTCACCATACTGCAGAAGGGTCTGCTCTACACGGAGGTGGAGTGGAGCGTGGGCGAGGATGGAGAGATGGCGCGACCCATCGAGGGCCTCAGCCTGATAGACGCTGTGATGCCGGAAGTGAAGCCGCCAAAGCCGACAGTCAAAACAGAGCCGGGCAAACCGGCCGTCGATGCCAGCACGCCGGCCAATGTCAATTCGAATAGCAATCCGAAAACGGAAATCAAGATCGAGCCGGGCACAGGCAATACGACTGCTGGCGCTGCCGCCAAGGGCACCAATGCCAGCACCGGCACCAGCACGCCCACCGGCAGCAGCGGCGCCGACACCAACGAGGTGGACTCCAGCGGCACCGCGGCATCCAACAACAGCAATACCGCCGCCGCCAGTGGTAACAATGCCAGCGGCACAGCTGCCGGCGCTGCTGCCGCCAACTCAACGACAGCTGCGGCCAGCGGCAATGCGGACAGTGCTGGCGGTGCAGCTGCGGCGGCTAACAAAAAGGCGGGAGCTAACGAATCTGGAGCCACCAGCAGTACGGCGGCCTATCCGAATGCCACAAACGCAGATGATGCCGCCTCATCTACGTCCACAAATGGCAACAGCAGCAACGCCAGCAGCGTGGAACAGCCAGCGGCAGGCGGCACGCCTGCCGTGCCAGCCGGTGCCAATGCGGAGGCTGGTACAACGGCTGCGGGAACTGCTGCAACGGGCGCCAAGGCGGCCAGCGGTGCAGCTAGCACGCCGGCAACCCGAGTCGGCACTCAGGGCAATAATGTGCAGACCACCTGCCCGACGACGGCGCAAAGTGCAGTCCCCAGCAGCACCACACCGGGCAACGGTGGTAGTGGCGGTGGTGGTGGTGGAGGAGGAGGAGGTGGCGGCGGCGGCGGCGGCGGCGGTGGTGGTGGCGGCGGCAATGGCGGTGGCGGCGGTAGCGGCACAGGCACGCCCGGCAGCACTGTCGTCGAGGCAATGGACATTGATCAGAGCATAGAGATACCTGAATCAAAGGCCCGCGTGCTGCGCGGCCACGAGAGCGAAGTGTTCATCTGCGCCTGGAATCCCAGTCGAGATCTGCTTGCCAGTGGCTCCGGCGACAGCACCGCACGCATCTGGGACATGTCCGATGCGAACGCCAACTCCAGCCAGCTGGTATTGCGGCACTGCATACAGAAAGGCGGCGCGGAGGTGCCCAGCAATAAGGATGTCACCTCGTTGGACTGGAACGTGAGTAGCCAAACATGGTTGAATTCTATCGATATCTGATAAGTCGCACATATCGTTATCGATATCGTATGATACTCACGAGCAATCGCTCGACCTGCAACACTGAAATTAATTTTAATTTATATCGAAAATAATTCCAATCGGTATTTTTTTTTTCTGTTGCAGTGCGACGGCTCGCTTCTGGCCACGGGCAGCTACGATGGCTACGCACGCATCTGGAAGACAGATGGTCGCTTGGCCTCCACGTTGGGCCAGCACAAGGGTCCCATCTTTGCGCTCAAGTGGAACAAATGCGGCAATTATATTCTGTCCGCGGGCGTGGACAAAACGACAATCATCTGGGACGCATCCACAGGCCAGTGCACGCAACAGTTTGCGTTCCATAGTGCGCCCGCCTTGGACGTCGATTGGCAATCGAATCAGTCGTTTGCCTCGTGCAGCACAGATCAGCGAATCCATGTGTGCCGGCTGGGCATGAACGAACCGATCAAAACGTTCCGTGGACACACGAACGAGGTGAATGCAATCAAATGGTGTCCGCAGGGTCAGCTGTTGGCTTCCTGCTCCGATGATATGACACTCAAGATCTGGAGTATGACGCGCGATCGTTGCTGCCACGATTTGCAGGCGCACTCCAAAGAGATCTACACGATAAAATGGTCACCCACCGGACCCGGCACAAATAATCCCAACACGAATCTGATACTCGCCTCCGCATCGTTCGATTCGACGGTCCGCCTGTGGGATGTGGAACGCGGCAGCTGCATACATACGCTTACCAAGCACACGGAACCCGTCTATTCCGTGGCCTTCAGTCCGGATGGCAAGCATCTGGCCTCGGGCAGCTTTGACAAGTGCGTGCACATCTGGAGCACACAGACCGGACAGCTGGTGCACAGCTACAAGGGTACGGGCGGTATTTTTGAGGTCTGCTGGAATTCCAAGGGCACCAAAGTGGGCGCCAGTGCATCCGATGGCAGCGTTTTTGTGCTCGATCTGCGAAAGTTCTGATCCGCAGCAGCAACAACAGCAACAGCAACAACAGCAGCAGCAGCAGCAGCAGCAGCAATAATTGATACATCTGCCAACTCCCAGCACCTTTTAGGTTATGCGTATTGACGTGACCTGGATTCTAATATGCTTTTCGCTTCTGTTTTGAATGTTAACTTCAATGTTCTGCCCACTGTCCATTCACTGAGTTTTTTCTCCCTCCTGCCGCCTCCCTCACTTCAAGTCAAGACACGTTGCCCCTGTCTGTGTGCTGCAAGTGTCGCTCGCGGGGCGTGGCAAACCGAGTTTAAGAACGCCTCGCGCAGCGATCTCGACCAGTTGTCAGTCGGCGGGAAACGCGCTTTTAATTTAGCCGTAAGCTCCATATGTTTCTAAGTATTCATTTTTATACACAGATAACTCGTTTAGTATATAACTTGATGCATTTTATTGTTATATTGTATACATGAGCGCAGTCTGGCCCAGGCCCAAGCCCAAGCCCAATTAAGTCTTAATCGAGCAACCTTTTATCGTTAGACCTAAGCATTATAAAGTGCATGCAAAAATATGTTAGTCGCCGGCAAACGGAGACGGAAACGAAAACGGAAACGGATCCAAGCTAAATGGATGACAACCGGCTCACGCTTACATTCGAACAGTGTAACTGCATCCCAACGTAGTGTGTAAACGATACTAATTATAAAGAATGGCCTTAACAGCGGCTACAATTAATTAAAGCTCCAAAATCGAACTAGAGCTTTTCTTTTCTGGTGCGAAGGCACGCTAGAGATAAGGGGACCATTGCAGCAAGTTTGAATGGGAATATAAAATAAAGCAATAAAAATTGCAGTCTCCGGTAAGCCGGAGATTGCATATAGAGTATTTAACATGTGGTATTGCTTATTCCAATGGGAGTTCATATGATAAAACAAGCTGATAATACGCTCAGCGAGCGCTGCCAAGCGAAACTGGCAGCACTGGTACCTTAAGGCGATAATGCACAGACAAACTGCATTGGCAGCACTGTCTTCTGCAGCAACCAGTGGTGCCAATATCATTTGGCTTTCCTCACACGCAAAGTAGATATCGCTTAACTACAAAATATATTGGAAACATCTCTAGGGTATAAATAGTTGGTGTACAATCTAAAATTCGGTTACATTGTCCAGGTGACACTGTTTGAAGAAGCGGCATTCCTCGCGCTTCACTTCACCCGTTTTGGTGGTGCCCTTGAAGAACTTGGTCAGCTTTGTGCCCGCATATTTGGGCTTCTCCGAGTCGGGCTCATCGAATTCCATGTCGTATGCCTTGTCCGCCAGCGCATTCTCCGCCGTTGACCAGCTGAAGCGCACCAGACGCGGGAAACCAAATACCAAATCAATGTTCTCGGTAAGGAATCGTTTGGTGACAGGATCACCGGGGTAGCCGCTGCCAAATGCATTGTCCTTAATGATTAGGCCCTCGGGAAACTGCCAGACCTTCAGAGCATGATCGCGGGTTACCTTGGCGCATATACTGGCCGCCGAGACAATCGGATAGGTAGAATCGGCCTTTTTGGCTACCGTTATTTTGAAATTAGGAAACCGTTTGAGCAGCTTCTCCTGATACTTCTCCGGCGGGCCCACCGTGTCCACGTAAACTTCGGCTATATTGACGCCCGCATCGATGGCTTCTTGTATCAGGCCCATGGCCGAATCCATGGAGACCTCATTCAGCGAGCACTTGGTGCGTCTGTACATGCTGCTGCTGATGACATTGGGTGAAATGATTTCAACGGCCCAGCCAATGCAGCTGTTCGCATACTCCAGCGTGTTCAGATCGTTAAAGATGATCTCCCGCTTCTCCTCGGTTAACTGCTTGGAATCTGCGCAGCCCAGCTCGACCAGAGCGCTCTTACGCTCCAGCGGGCAGTAGGAGATGCCGTACACCATGGGGCCCAGCACGGGACCACGGCCTGCCTCATCCACGCCCAGCATGCAGGGCTGCTCCTTGCAGATTGCCGGCACATCGCTCAAATAAATTGTATTTTTGCTGTTTTCGCGCGCAGCAATAAACGGCCCGAGGGACTTCAGTGAGCTTATCCGATTAATATCACCCGCGGGCTCTTCATCCTGTAATATATTGGGTTTTTCTTCACTTTCATTCTTAATTTCTATATCTTCCATTTTACGCGCGGTTTTTATTGTTTACCTAATCGATAGGCAAGAATATGTTGATCGAACATTGTTTACGTTTTATGGCAGTGTTGGTAAGCGTACGAGCTGCCGTTCACAGCGACGCGACAAAAACACTGCTAGACGCAGCCAACTTGACGTACATCGTTCTTTCCGGTTTAGGATTTTGTTCCGTGTGCTTGTTCTCTTTCGAGCTAAGGCCGATTATTATAAAACCTTAATTTTTGGCAACTTGCACCAATTATTAAATAAGCAAACAGTTTAACAATGTCGACAAAAGCTGAGCTCGCATGCGTCTACGCCTCCCTCATCCTGGTTGATGACGATGTCGCCGTCACCGTAAGTGAAAAAATGAACTTAAAAAACGAATCTGCAAAAATTGCGACAATCCCCAGCAATTGTTTGCTAATTTGCACATAGTAATATTTGCATAGGATTTGTGAACCTTATACTAATTGTATTTATTATTTTCGGGCTTTTGCAGGGTGAGAAAATCTCGACCATTCTGAAGGCCGCCAATGTTGAGGTCGAGCCCTACTGGCCCGGTCTGTTCGCCAAGGCGTTGGAGGGCATCAATGTCAAGGACTTGATCACCAACATTGGCTCCGGCGTTGGTGCTGCCCCAGCTGGCGGTGCTGCTGCGCCCGCTGCTGCCGATGCGCCCGCCGCCGAGGCCAAGAAAGAGGAAAAGAAGAAGGAGGAGGAGTCCGATGTCTCTGACGACGACATGGGCTTCGGTCTGTTCGACTAAACAGCAGCAGCAGCAACAATCATATAACGCCAACAACATCCATCGCGTGTGTGAAGTGAAGTTTTTATTCTCCACAATTTTCGTACACGTTTTAATGTACACAATGCGAGGAAATATAAAATGTTAACTACAACTGATCGCCATATTTTTCTGTATTTTATTGGGTCTCAAAATATGCCATTTTTCAACACTTGCGCTATGGCCCGCAGGCCGGCTGTGTCCAGCTGCTTCAGGCCCAGCCCAATTAGCAGCTCGGTGGGGCACTTGTTGAGCGCCGTCTTGTTGATCAGGAACTGGATGCCGCCGCGTATCTCGTCCGAATCGATGCCCATGCAACAGTTAATTGTCACCGGCACTGACACATGAAACTGTGGATCGTCCACGGGGCCGTGCAAATAGGGCAGCACCCGATGCTCGTGCTTCACGTCGAACGTCACATTGTAGAGCGCCGGTATTTTGCCCAGCTGTGTAACCAGCAGCACCCATTTGTTCTGGAAGTCGTGAAACACGAATTCCGTGTTTATGCCATTTATGTCAATTGCAAATTGCTTATCAAAGCCGCATTTATCGTTTTTGGTTTCAAACTCGCACATTTCGAAGCTAAAAAAAAACAACAACAAAACGTACTGTATAATTTTTTTGTGTGTTGTTTAAGGTTTCAAAAAGCATATGATTCTGGGCACAACTGTTGCGGAGCTGCTGCTCAGCAGCGTGGCACACTTTGTTCTGCGAAAGCCGGGCCTGGCTTCTGCAAATATAAAACTGTTTTATTTTTGCACAAACTGCAAAAAATAACAAACGAAACACAAATTTGAATTTCAGCAGCAGCCACTTGCATTGGGCAAAACGATAACACAGTGAGTCGGCGCATATTCTCGGTAGTTGCGCGTTGCCCAACACTGAAACTATCGCAACGAAAACACGAGTCGCCAAATTTTGTACAGCACTAAGCTATCGCTCTTTTTACATGCAGCAGCTTCGTTTTTAAGCTGATAGAGGGCGCCACAATGGGTCGTAACGTATTTTCAAAAATGGTTGCCAAGGCGAATTTGTTGTTAAATCGATATATGCAGATGTAGAATCAGATATATAGCGCTCGCAATGTCGTGCATCTGCCTTGGACCCAAGCGTGCTGGCAAAACGCATCTGCTCAAGGCGCTGCAGGATCCAGACTCCATAGATGAGACAAGCTACTCCATGCCCACCATTGGCACCGGCATCTTCCGCATCTTTTTCCCCGAGAAGTCATCACATGCCGACAGGCACAAGCCACCGCCGCCGCCGACAACTGATGCAGCCGCGGCCACGCCGCGTGCCGGCAAACATCTGGCCAAGTTCATACAAGTGCTCGAGATTGGCGGCAGCATGGCACCGCTCTGGCGCCAGAGCCAGTACTTCGAGGATGTCAAGAAGCTCATCTATGTGGTGGACGCGTCCAATCTGTGTCAGATATCAGCTGCAGGTGTGTAGAGCAGCAAGTCAAACTTAAGCCTCATGCCAATTTGTTTCATTTTCAGGCGTGCTCTTCTATTCGATTCTCACGGAGCCGCGCCTGCAAAAGGTGCGCATCCTTCTGGTGCTGACCAAAATGGACTACTCCTATCGCCAGATGCGCAACGAGGCGCTGCTCATGCTGCAAATGTCCAAGCTACAGAAACAGATACGCCAACAGGTGACCATCGTGGAGGCCAGCGCCGTCACCAAGGTGGGCCTGAACAGCATCTACGAATGGCTCCAGAGACCCTAGGGGGGATTATGTTAACCTATTGATTTATATTTCCAAATAAAGCACGTTGAAAAAGCTCCGCTCTAGAGTTTATAATTGAGATCCATGTACTGTAGATTGGCGTTCACCTCGCCGGCATCGGGCAGCACGTCCTTGGCGGCATTCAGATAGGACTTGGCGCCCATAATGTCGCCGCAGTGCGCCGCCAGCACGGCCAGATTGTTGAGAGCAGCTCCGTCGCGTGCGTCGGCGGTGAGGCACAGTTGCAGGCAGCGCTTGGCCAGGTTGAAGTCGCCCGATGTCTGTGTAAATTATTGCTTCAGTTGAGAAATGAATACAAGAGAGAGCTTCCGTCGAAGTTAGACGACTAGTAGATACCCTGTAGCCTGTTTAGAGCGGTCATAACATGATTGGTATGGGGGCGAAATATTCCTGAGCTGTGCTGTGGCAAACTTATTTTGTAATCGGCTTAAGGAATGAGGCAGGGAATCGATATTAATCGATATAAGATAAGATCGATAACGAACTTGATATGTTCGTGCCTTAAGTAAGCTTTCATATCAGTTAAATGAATACAAGTTCAAGTTTTTCTTCTAGTCATGATCAATTGATCAACAAATTGGCCTATTCAAACCCGATATTTATCGATTTCGAGAAAAGTAGTGAAAAAGTTATCAACATATATTGATTACAAATCAGAAAGATTAATATAAATCCGATAAATAAAATAAATAATCGATATATATCGATTTGGGAAAGAAAGGCGACAATGATCGATTGCCCTCTAAAACAAACTTGATTTGCTTAGGTCTTTAGGCTTAGGCTTAGGCGTAGGAAAAGGGGCTGAATAGCGATATTTATCGATTTTTGGGAAAAGGGGAGAAATATATCGTCTTACAAATTTAACATGATCCGTTTGAGTTTTAAAGAGGACTTATCATTGCCATTGCATTCCAGCTCTATGATATTTATCGATAACAAGTTATCGATTAACACAAAACTTGAGCTGTGCGTATTTTGTGATCTATCTCTACAGACTCTGAGAAGATTGACGGACAGATAGACTGGCCTATAGATGCTGATCAGGAATATATATATGCCTGAGAAGGTCGTTAATTCCTACTTCGCATCAATATGCCCTTTTTCAGCTAGTTTCAATGGGAAGAATGTTTAAGGGTCTACGATATACTGACCACGGCCACAAAGCTGAGGTTATACCAGACGTCGGCCTTCTGCTCCGGCTGCGTGGCCATCTGGAGGGCGCGCTGAAAGCAGGGCAGGACCAGATCAATCTGGCCGCCATAGAGACAGCAGAGGGCAATGTTGCAGTAGAGCTCGGCCGTGTGGACGCCGAGTGAGAGGATGCGTCTGTAGTACATGAGCGACATTTCTGGATTGTTGTCGTAGAAGTAGCCAACGGCAATGCTGGCCAGCGCCTCAACATTGATGGGCTGCAGCTTGGCCGCCAGCCGATACAGCTGCAGTGCATCCTCCTGCTGCAGCATGGCCGCATGGATGCGCGCCTGCTCCAGCCGATAGGCCACATCGAACGGCTGTCGCTCCACGGCCTGCCCGATCAGCAGCAGGGCCCGCTCCGGCTGTCGCAGGCGCTGATACAGGCGCGAGAGCAGCAGATACGTGTCCGGATGCGGGAATGCCGCCAGCGATTGCTGCAGCGCCGGCTCCGCGCGTCGCGGATAGTGCAGCGCCAGCAGGCAGCGGCCCAGCTGCTGTTGCCACCACCAGTCCGTACGGCCGGCATCCGCGGGCGTGGCCAAGGCGCCCTGGGCGTGGCCGGGCCGCTGCTGGCGCTGCACGTCGAGCACCGCCTGGCAGAGCGAATGCGCCTTCTGCACGTCCGCCTCGTGGTAGTAGAGAAACTGGAACAGCGCCTTCACAATGGCCTCGCGCTCCGCATAGATGGTCGGATTGAGACGCGACGCCTGGTACAGCGCGGCCGTCGCATCGCCCACATTGAAAGCCGCCGCCGAGGTGGCGCGCACCCGGGACGCGGTGCCGCAGCGCGAGGCGGGACGTGCGCCCAGCGCGGAGCCCGGCCGGCTGACGGCCGTGCCGAGTCGCGTCTGTGCCGAGCCGGGCCGTGCGCTGTCGCTGGAGCGGCTCAGGCCCGTCGCCAGGCGTCGCTGGCTGGTGCTGGGACGCGGCTGGAAAGCCGTCTTGATGCTGCTGCCGGGTCTAGCCGCCGTCGCGATCCGCTCGAATTCCACCTCCTCGTTGGCTGTGGGTCGAAGGTGAGTTCAGGTTGTAGTTGGTTCACCTTAAGCTAGAGATGGGCGCGTGTCGCTCTTGTCTTTGAGCAGGACATATCGATATATGGGAAACACGACTTTTATGTGCTAGTCGGTAATGCCCGACTAGGAAATACCCTCTTCACGATTTAGAATTACCCTAAGTACGACATATTGATATATTTTATAATGTAGTTGGAATTACCGACTTAGAGATACCCTCTGCACGTCATATGGAGATACCCTATATATTGGAAACAAGTCTGTTATGCTCTAGTCGGTAATGCCCAACTAGAAGATACCCTCGATATATTCTATGGAAAAATTATTCTTGAATAACTTCGGAGTGTATAGTCCGATCTTAACGTAATTTGCAAAACCTAAATAAGACGAACAAGGAAATTTCGTGTAACTGGGTATCATAATTTTCGAGATAGGCCTGAAAAAGCAAGTCTGAAAATCGATATGATGGGGGAACGGGAATGATTAACTCTTTCTACGTATGACATATCCGAATATATATATATTAGCCTGCTTATGATTAATTAGAATAAAGATATATTTTATTTTAAGATTCGCTTAGCTTTTGTAGTTTTCGGCTGCCTCAGAAATAGTTCTGGGCTATGATTGATGCTGATCAAGAATATATATCTAATCTATGGGGTCGGATATGTCTCCTGCTATGCTAAATAAACTTTTTGCGATACCGGAAATATGTCATAGGTCGTGTCACGACACGCGTCCATCTCTAGAACTCTGGACTTAGCCTTGCTTAGCTGTCACTCACCCGCATCGTCCGCATCGTCCACCTCAAGATCGTCCAGGTAGACGCGCTGCGTCAGGGCGCGCATCTTTAATTGCCAGACGCCCTCCATCAGCCAGGTGGGCATTATGGAGGCTGCGGATGAGGCTGAGGCGGCGGCTGTGGCGGCGACTCCATCGTGTCCATCGCCACGTACACGTCGCCTGGGGCCAATGCGCTGCAAATTGCTACCGTATCGACTGTGGCTCGACTCGTGCTCGGCCAGCTGCTGTTCCCGCTGCTCCTCCTGCTGTCCTTCCTTCGCCTGCTGCGGCGGCTTGGCAAAGATTTGCACATTGTTCTCATGGCCGGCTTGGAGCAGCGCGTTGCATGCCTCGGCGCATCTCTCGTAGCTGCGCCGCCGATAGAGCGAGATGGCACGGAAATATTCCAGCTCCAGTGTCGCCAGCGTCGCCGTTGCAGTCGCCGGCGCAGTCGCCGTTGCCGTTGCCGTCGCAGTCGGCGTCATCAGGCTGGCCAAGTGTTTGAATTCCTCTCTGTCGCGGGGCAGCTGCTGCGTCTCCTTCTTCTCGCTCCCGTCTGCTGTTGCTGCGCGTTTCTGTTGGAATTTTAAAACCGGATGCGTGTCATTCCTTGGCAACGCCCCTGCCCCCGGCCCCGGCCCCGCAACCGCCCGCGCCACTTCCTGCCCGCCTGCCGCTAATGTTTTTTAGTGGCTGCTTCTTCTTGTTTGTGCCCGCTTTTTTCTTACAGTTTTGTTGTTTTCTTTTTTTTTTCCGCGTCTCTTCTAATTTTTCTATGGCCATAATTTGTACCTACCTTGATTTATTTCGTTTTTTTTTTTTCGGCCCTTGATGAGTTTTAATTTGTGAAATCCTTTCGTCTTGCGGTTTGTTGTGGCCCGACGACTTTTTTCGCTTGGGTTTCCGCTTGGCTCTACTGGGAATTGCGGTTGCCATGACAGCCTTTTAGAAGGCCACAACAAATTCAATTAATTGTGACTCAGTTGTTTATAGAAAAATTAAAATCAAATATTTTTTAACAATTTTTCAACATTTTTCTTGGCGCTGAAAAACTTCTTTGAATATAGTTTTCCCTTTAAATTATTTACCTGGAAACACAAGAATTTGCATTGGTTCGGTTCACGCTTGGAACCAGTTCCCTGCCCTTCGGTTAGCTTATTCTTAACTTAGCTTTATTTTAAATTTACTCAAGAAAAAAAAAAAACAATGTTGGAATTTTAGCTATTTTATGGCTAAACTTGAAGAGCTAGAAAATTTAATAAAATTCTGTTCGCTAGAAATCCTTTTATCTATAATCTTTAATCTACAATAAGGAAGTAAGGATTTCCTCCGCAGGTCAGGATATAGATCTCAGATCTTGATATAGCCCAGTCCGTTTTTCTTCTCTCCATCTCTCCAACTATCTGTTCCTATGCGAACTTGACTCTCAGTCTTAAAGCTATTATCGGATCACAGCCCTATATTATATAGCTGCCCCAGGAACGATCGGTGCGAGAATAGCTTCTGGTATATAAAACTTTTTTGTTTAGCTAGATATCTTACCGAAAATCGACATTTATAGATTTAACTATATGCGCCAAATGTATGTAAAATCTTGTCAATATCGGAGCACTATATCATAAAGCTGCTATAGAAAAGATCGGTCTAAAAGTAGTTTCTTATGTGGCAACATGTTCTCCATTTTTCTGTAAAAGAGTAATGTCTGCAAGGGCATCAAATCTTCGGTGTGCCAAGTAAGCCTGTTCCTTAGTGTTTGCAGCCCTGGTACAAAATTTGTAGTTTGAATTAAAGTTGAACATTTCAAATAGAATACTTTGCTTAGCTTTATGGCTTTCAACATTCTTCAACTTTATGGCATATTCATGCTTAGTTCGATGTAGAACATTTTGCAATATGCTCCCCCCCTCCCACCACCTACCCGTTGCGAGTTCAAACCTCTCCTTCGAACCCCACAGCAATTAGCAGCGACAGCAAAAAAAATGCAAAAGCAAGATTCTGTGAGCTGCTGAGCAAACGTTATGCAAAATTTGACACAGAATCG